GGGGGGTGAGGGGGGTGAAGGGGTGGGGTACCTTCATGAATTAAGCCTCCTGTTCCCTGCCCTACTGGCCCCCAGCCACACGGCCACCTCCTCCGGTCTTCCCCTTCCTCCCGCCTGGTGGAGTGCATCCATCTGAGGCCCACCTGCCTGGCCTTGGGCGGCTCCACTGAGATGCCCCATGTTGCCCCGACTCTTGTCTGACCTGACCTGTGTCCCTTCCCACAGGGGTGCTAACGGTTCTGCCCTGTATTAGGAAATGGGCTTCGGAGAAGCTATTTTCCTAGCTCTTGGGTAGGTCTCAAACCCAGGCCCCATCTGATCCCTGGCTTCCTTTTGGGATTCAAAGGCCAGTGTCCCAGGTCTGGGACAGAGCTTGATTAGGGCGCAGAGGGTGGAGGGGTCTGGAGATCCAGCAGGGCAGGAAGAAATGATGGGGCAGGGGAGGCAGAGACTGGGTTTGACGGGGGGGGGGGGGGGGGGAGGGGGCGCTGGCCAGCCTGGCACAATCTTGATGACAGCCTGGGTATCCAGGTGGAGACCTGGCCGTGGCCTCAGTGACAGGCTGAGGGTCCAGATGGAGAACTGCCTGGTCCCCTCAGGGGGCAGGGCTGCCTGTGGCCTTGGGCATAGTGGGCAGCAGTGGAGACTGGCCTGCCCATAGGCCCCACCTGGCATAGGCTGGGGGGCATAGTGGGACCCTTCTGTGGGACCCGTACTTGGCACTTCTTCAGCTTCTAAGCTGCACTTCCTCCCAGACCTGCCCAAGGTGGCCTTTGCTGAGCACTCTGCCTCCTCCCACCAGGAGGACATGAATGGACTGGACCTTGGGACCCTTGGGGCTGACTGACCCCTTGGGCGTGCCCCTGGCTAGCCCTCTTTGGGAGCTGGAGTGAGTGAGGCAGCTCTGGCTGGACAGCAGAGGAAGGTGGGGGCTGCCAGGCGGTTCTGGGACATGCATACACCGGAGGAGAGCTCTGCGTCCTCCCTGCAGCCCGTCAGCTCGCAGGCCCGCCTGGCAAGCCCACGTTCCCACTTAGCTATCTCTTGGCAGAATCCAGATGCTCTATCTCCCTTTCCTCTCGGCCAAGCTTCCGGCTGATGGCTGTGTGTGCACAGCCACGCCCCACACCCAGTGCCACCCAGCCCCGGTTGCTCTCGCCCCAGTAAAAACATCAGCATTCTTCCTGGATGAGTCTGGGGTCACTCTTCACTCCTCCGTACCACCTTCTTCTCTCTGTCTGTGCCTGTGCCTGCCTGTGTCTCCCCACCCCCCCACGGCGCCCCGCCTGACTCAGCACCGGGGACCTAATAAATAGCCTCTCCATGGGCTAGCTGCACCCTTGCTGGGAGGCCTGACCTTTGCCTTTCAAACTTGCTGCTCATCTTTAGATCTTCCTGGCTGACCCTGGGCATCAGCCTTCCCCAGGAGCTCTTTCCGGTGATGCCACCTTCTCCAATCTGGTTACCCCCAGTGCCCACTCCCCCGGGCAGAGCCCACCTCTGCAGCTTGGTCCACTGTGTCCTTCCTCCAGCTCTTCCAGCAGGTCCCTTCATGGATACCCAACCAGCAGTGGACCCTGTTCCATTCCATGTCCCCACAGCTGGGGCTCTGGCCAGAGCAGGAACTGTGTTTGACCTGGCAGCACCCAGCCTCAGAGAGGCGTTGGGAAGCTGCCATGTGGAACCCCTGAGCAACCCTCAACTGATGGCTGACCATGGTGCACTGAGGGGCTAGGCAGTGAGGACCTGGCTGGTTCTACAGCCCAGAGCACAGGGTGGACACTCTGTGGTAATCCCAGCTAGGCGTCCCCAACAGGGTGGGTGGAGACAGAACAAAAGCATCCTGTGTGGACAGCATGACCCACCTGCTCCGGGCAGTGGGCAAAGTCCCCGTCGGCAGGTGCAGGAAGGACAGGCCATAGCCACACCTTCTTGCCTGGCCCCTCCCAGCCTCGTGGTCTGAGTCACGGGGTATCCTGTGATCCACTGACTGCCCCCACAGTGGGAGGGGGCCGGGGACACGGAGACCCAGGAACCTCTGGAGGTGCACAGTTTGGAGATTAGGGGTGGAGTGGCCAGGCTGTGTTAAGCTCAGTGCCCACTGTATGTATGCCCAGCCCCCCTCAGCCTGCTGCTGAGACTGTCATGTGGACACACAGCATGCTAATCCGCTCAGGTCCTGGCACTGGGCCCTTCCTGTGGCCTCACGGGTGGGGGATGGGCTGGGAGGCCTCTACTGCCAATGACAGCACTTAGGAGGGGAGCGGAGCCCCTGAGCCCCCAGCCCATCCTGCTGAGGATGTGCCTCTGAAGCCGAGCCAGCCAGCCCCGAGTGTGTTCTGGGGGTTGACTGGGGGTGAGGGACAGGTACGGGAGGGCAGGTCTCTCTGCGCATGAGCATGAGCTGGACTGGCCTGGGAGGCCCGGGCGACCCCGGCTGTGCATACACCTGTGAGTACGTGTGGCTGGGAGGCTGCAGCACCAACTTGGCCTCCTTTCTGGACACTGGACTTTATGGGGTGCTGACTCTGCGCCTGGCCATCCCTGCTTGCCTCCCTTCCTCTACCTGATTAGGTCCCTGGGTGACCCTGGATCCCGGAAAGCCTCCCAGGAGGATCCTCAGCCCCCGAGGCTCCTGCCTTGGGCAAGGGTGGGGGGTGGGGCCGCTCGGGCTCCTTCCAGAGGTGGGGGTAGGAATTTGAGCTGCGGGTGGTGTTCTGTGCTCAGGAGGAGTTTAATATTTCCAGCTCCCGTGGAGCTGCTCCCATCTGCCGCAGGCGGGCATTATTCATTACGTATTCATTACGGACTCGCTGGCCCAAGGTGGCCCACTGAGCAAGCCTGGTGGGCACTCTCTGGGGGGTGTGAGCCCCCAGGCCACTTGACTTTGGTGCCAGGGTTGCCCGTGGACTCCCTGGTCCAGTCTGCTCTGCCCCCACGGGTCCTGTTGTGGTTGGTAAGTGTCTTCCAGTTGATTACAGCTCAGAGCTATCCTGTACAGTTTCCGACACGAGGCTGTCCACTGGCCTCGTGGGTCGCAGTCCGTTTGCTTGCCCTCCAGTAGCATACCAGGAGCCCCCTAAGTGCTGGGAATAGGGGGCCTTGGTGCCCCCACCCTTCTGCTTGTCCCCACAGCCCATTGGAACTAGTGGCCAGTACAGGGTCTTCAGTCAGGAGTTGGAGATGAAGACCCTGTTCAGTGTGGAACTGTGGCCCAGGGAAGTTCAGGGGGGTCAAAAGGCCGGGTGTAACTGGCAAGGAGGGAAGGGCTCACGACAGTGGGCCTATTGGGACGGGACGGCCCTCTATAGCACCTGGTTCTACTTTCCTGGGGCTGGCACCGATCCCTTCTCTTGGGCCACGGGTATTCCAGGTCCTTGCCTGGCAGCAGTGGTCTTGCTCAGCTGGACAAGCAGGATGACCCAAGTGCCCTTGGAGAGGGCCCCAGCCATAGTGTAGGGGGCTCCCCTGAGGTGCGGCTTCCCTTGGACCATGTTCCTGCTGTTGAGCTGTGTGGGATTGGGAAGGGCTGCCCCAGCATCAGGGTCCCATGGTGGTTCCTGTCCAGAGAGAGCAGTTGCCCTGGCTCAGGGTCAGCCAAGGCTAGTGACCACTGGGAGCAGGTGGAATAGGGGTGTTCTAGTTCGGGACCTTTCTGGTCCCTGCTGTGAACTTGGGCAACCCTCCAAAACTGAGAATCAGGAAGTCTGGGTCAATGGCTCACTTAGGAGACTTGACCCTTAGACAGAGGGTCAGGGGTGTGTGTGTGTTTTTGAGCACAAGTGTTTGGGTATATAACCCACTCTCTCCTGGTTTGGGGAGCCCAGCAAAGCCCTTAGGAACAACAGTCCTTGTGTCTCCGACCCCAGATGAAGATCTCCTTCAACGACCAGAGCCTGCAGACCACATTTGAGTACCCCTCAGAGAGCTCCCTGATTCAGGAGGAGGAAGAGGAGGACGGAGCGTCGGACGGCTCAGAGGGGCTGACCCAGGAGAACCCTTTTTGTCTCTTCCTGCCTCGGGCCACCTTTGTGAACAGCGTGGGACCTGAGAGCTCTCAGGGCAGCTCAGGTGAGCACCCATGTGCGAGCGCGACTGCAGGGGAGGACACGAGCCCCCCAGCTCCTTACAGGGCTCCCTCCACCCACAGCTCTGTCCAGCTACACCCCAAAGCACTCGGTGGCCTTCAGCAAGTGGGAGGAGCCAAGAGTGGAGGCAGCTCCTGGTGAAGTGGGACCCCTTCCCAAGGAGATCATGGTGAGTGGGGGTGGGGCTGCAGGGGAGAGGGGGGTCGTCAATGCCTGGAGGAGTCCCAGCTGTGCCCCCCTCTCTCTCAGCTCACGCCCGCTGGCCAGGACGACCTCTCGGACTTCCGCAGCGAGCCAGCTCTCTATTTCTGACCCTGCCAGGACCTGTCTGGGTGTGGGCCTTGGGGCCAGCCGTGCCCAGAGCCTGTCCTCACCCTGCTGCCCCCCTCGCCAGTCCCTCCCCACAAGTGTGACTCCTGCCTCCAGGGCCTCCCAGCCCTGCTGACCCTGCAGTGACAGCCAGGTGCTCTGGGTCTGCAACAGGCCACCATTCTTCCCTCTGGCCTCTTTGTGTGAGCTCCACAGGCATCCTGCTGGACAGTGGCCCCACTGACCCTCGGCAGGTTGCCTTCTGTCCTGCCAAGTGGTGGACTCATGGCGAAGGCTCTCCTCTTTGGCATTCCAGCCCATCTGCAGGCTAGCCAGCACTGCCCACAAGGCTGAGCCTGGCCCACTCCTTGAGTGATCACAGGATATTTCTACTGAATAGACTCAATAAAGACCACTGGACAACGATGCTTTGGTCTCTGGGCGGTCTATCTCGCTGGGCACTGGGGCTGGGCAGGGAAGGAGTGGGGCCTTGGGGTCAAACGAGTAGAAGGTGGCCTGCCTGCCTGCCCTGCGCCCCCCTCACTGAGGAGGCAGGACTGAGAACTGGGGTCCTGGTTTCCTCATTAAGTGCAGGGACACAGGTTCCTGGGGTGGGTGTTAGCAATGGCAGGAGGGCCCAGGACGCCGAGGTGATGGCAGAGCCAAGGCTAGGGCCGCCCACTCAGGAGCAGCTTCTGACAATGCCGACGACCCAGACATCCTTACTACCACATGCCATCTGAACAGGGCTAGTTACAAATCCACAGGGAAAACGGACTGAAGTGTCAGATTCAAGTTTCTGTCCTTCCTGGGGAGTTAGGGAGTCAAACTCACGAGAATAAGTCGGGCCATGCTCAGGAAGGCAGGTAGCATGTTTGGTGCTCCCCTGAGGGCCCCGGCAGCTGGGCCATGGTTGCTGCAGGGCTGGGACCCCAGGAGGAAGGATATGCCAGTAGAGGTGGGCTTGGAGAAGTCTGGGAATGGAGGGCAGGACCAGCAGCACAGGAAGGAATCAAAGTGGACAGAGAGAGGATAAAGGCCCGTGACTCAGGCTCAGATGAGGCTGGCACGCACACCTACCCATCACCAACTGTTCTCAGACTAACCAGGCTATGACTGAGAACGGGACCAGCAGAGGGGATGACAAGCAGCCAAGAGTGGAGCAAACATCAGGCTGCCCTGGGAGGTGGATAAAAGGGAATCACAGGACATGGTGGTACTCCCAATCATGGGAAAAACCACTCCAGTCCCTGTCCCCCGCCTGGGGGATTCGCCACAGCCAGACAGAACCTTGGGGGTGGTTAAGCAGCCCCCTCTGCTAGGCAGAAACTGGCCCGGTTCTTTACAAGAAAGCCTTTATTCAGTCGGGGCACTGGGGCCAGGTAATGAGGTGTCCGGCTGGAGGCAGGGGCCACTCAGCCACTGTCTCACATGGCCGAGCCCTGCGGGCAGAGGGCCTCCAGGACGCCCCAGGTGCTGTGAGACCTTGGGGGGCAGTGGAGCTAAGGCTCCGCCTGGTGTTGAGCCCTAGCCCTTCTCCTCTGGGGCTGAAGGAGGCTGCTGCAGTCCAGAACAAAGATGCTTTATGGACATATCCTGGGGGCGCGCCCATGGCCGCCTCAGCTTTCCTTGCCCCCGGGGGCCTTCTGCTCGGAGGCTGTGGCCTTGGTCAGGTTCCCAGCTTCCCTCTTCAGCACACTAAGCAAAGTCTGGGAGCTCTCCAGGATCTGGGGTCAGAGGAAACAGGCGGCTCACTGGTGTCACCCCGCTCCCGCCCCGAGTCCAGCCTGAGCTGGGGGACTGAACCTGGGCAGCCAGGCTGGCGCAGGGAAAGCCACACCCCTCACGACTCATCGCGCCCTGCAGCCCCACCTTGAGATAGGCGGCCTCCGTCTCCGCGATGGTGCGGTCGAACTCGTTCCGAGAGGCAATCTTACGGGCCAGGTTCTCGTTGACGCGGGCCAGCTTCTCCGTCAGCTGCCTCACCTCGTTCTGCAGCCGCTGCTTCTCCTCCTCTTCCTGCTGGATCTGGCGGCATAGCTCCTCCCGCTTCTGACACAGCTCCTCGATGCCTGGGCGGCAGGAAGGAGGAGAGTGAGGGCCCGGTGGGCCACCTGCCCTCCAAGCCTGCCTCTCCTGCCCCCGAGGAAGAGCCAGGTGGTGCACGGCGGCACTGCACGCTCCCGCACGCGCCTTCCGGCATTCACGGCGCCAGGCGCTGCTGACGTCAGGCCGGGGGACCCGCGGGCACCCAAGCCACACGTCTGCTTCCCGGTCTTCCACAACGGGGGCCGCGGCCGGCGTTCGCAGCTCCCGCCCCAGGCCCGCTCCGGCGGGAAACGGAGGCCACGGAATCCAACTGCCCAGGCTACACCGCGCGGGGAGGTGCTTACACTTGACCAGCTCGTTGTTGTAGTTCTGCAGCGCTGCTCCCTGCTGGGTCATCGTGGCCGGTCACTTATCCCGCCGCCGCCACCCGGAGTCCCGGTCACTTCAACCGCCGCCACCGCATCCCTTTCCCCGCGCCTGCGCAATGCGACTCGACTGCGCGCCGACCAATAACGCCATCTCCACGCGCCTCTTTTGCATCTCCCGCTCTGAGCCGCGCCCCTTTTACGTCATCGTCCTGTGCCGCCCCCAGTCCGTGCGTCATCGAACCGCGCTTAGTCGAGCGGACCTGGGAGCCTCGGAGTCCCAATGGCGGCGGAGACGGCAGGGGTGAAGGGGACCTGCGATCCCGCACCTGGGCAGGAGCTCTTGGTGGCCTGGAACACCGTGAGCACCGGGCTGGTGCCGCCGGCTGCGCTGGGACTGGTGAGGCCCTGAAGAGGTTCCTGGGACACTTTAGGGCGTCCGTCGCTCGCCTCTGCCCTCCCTCCTTCCTCCACAGCCACGCAGCTTTCGCCTCCCCGGGCAGCCCTTCCCTAGCGTCGACCCCACATCCATTCGCTGCGGCCGAGAAGCCGCGGGGTTCCGGCAGCCTCCCCTGCCTTTCCCGCCGGCTGCCACTGTCCCCGCCTCTCCTCACGCTTGTCCGCACTGCAGGTGTCCTCTCGGACCAGCGGTGCGGTCCCGCCGAAGGAGGAGGAGCTCCGGGCGGCGGTGGAGGTTCTGCGGGGCCACGGTGTGCACTCGATTCTGGAGGAGTGGTTCGTGGAGGTCCTGCAGAACGACCTGCAGGCCAACATCGCCCCCGAGTTCTGGAATGCCGTATCCCAGCGCGAGAACGCTGCGGCCGAGCCCCAATGCCTGGTGCTGCTGCTGGATGCGTTTTGCCTGCTGGAGAACCGCCTGGACCCCTACCTTCATAGTTTAGAGCTCCTGGAAAAATGGACACGCCTGGGCTTGCTGATGGGCACCGGCGCTCAGGGGCTGAGGGAAAAGGTCCACACCATGTTGCGGGGCATCCTGTTCTTTTCCACTCCCAGAACCTTCCAGGAGATGATCCAGCGCCTCTATGGGCGCTTCTTGAGGGTCTATATGCAGAGTAAGAGGAAGGGGGAAGGGGGCACCGACCCGGAACTGGAGGGGGAGTTGGACAGCCGCTATGCCCGCCGCCGGTACTACCGGCTCCTGCAGAGCCCCCTGTGCGCCGGCTGTGGCAGCGACAAGCAGCAGTGCTGGTGCCGCCAGGCCCTGGAGCAGTTTCAGCAGCTCAGCCAGGTCCTGTGAGTAGTCCCTGTGGTCATCCCCTGCACAGAGAGCCAGGGGCCCGCGGGCAGCCCCGGGCAGGGAGTTTGTCTATCCCCGCTCACCTGGAGCTCAGGATTGGCCACATTTTCCACCGTGAGACCTCAAGTGCCTGGTGTCCATTCCAAGCTTCCTGGCTCATCGGCCTTCTGCAGGTGCTGGGGAGGGTTGATGTGTCCACTCCTGGCAGCATTTAGCCTGTGTTGTGGGTGCTGTGATGGTGGACGGTGACCAGGAAGCTCATGGGTCACTTCGCCTCTGCCGACTGCAGCTGAGCTTTCCTTCCTGTGCTTTGGAAGGAGATTGCGTTTGCTGCTGTGTGGCTATTGCTGCTCAGTCTCAGGCTGTCACTGTAAGCAGCGTGGCAGCTGGGCAGCAGTGTGGGAGGTGTTGAGCAGGTGGAGGGGTCCCACTGCTGGCGGGGCCCTGAGGGTCTCTGCTGGACTCATCCTAGTGGAAGACTGCATGGGACGCTCCCGTCTGCTCACGAGTCACCTGTCTCCCTAGATCAGGGTTTGCACTGGTAGGCACCAAGGGTGGCACCAGTGTTAACACCACATAGGTAGCAATGATTTAACTGCTACTTCTGAGCCATATAAAGGAGATGGGGTTTTGGGTAGCCCTTCTTGCTGCCGCTGCCCATGGACCTGGCCAGTCCCCTGGCTGGGCAGGACAAGTGCTGTCCTCCAAGCACCCCATGGGGCTCTGGGACACCCTCCAGGAAGGATATGGGCCAGGGGGCACCCTCTCACGCTTCACATGCTCTCCTGCTCACAGACATAGACTCAATCTGTTGGAGCGAGTCAGTGCTGAGGCGGTGACCACCACGCTGCACCAGGTGACCCGGGAAAGGATGGAGGACCGCTGCCGGGGCGAGTATGAGCGCTCATTCCTGAGGGAGTTCCACAAGGTGAGATCCATCCCCCCCCCATGCTCTCTCTGCCTGTCACGCTGCCTCTTTTTGGAAATGGACAAGAACGCTGAGGCTAGGTGCATGGGGACCTCCATGGTGGCTGAGGCCATTCCTGGGCCTGCCTTGACCAGGTTGTATCCACAACATGCTGGACCAGGTCTGAGTTCTGTGATTGGAGGCAGCGCTGGGGCTGAGCAGAGAGTGCAGCCAGGCCCCTGGGAGAGGAACACACTGACCCTCTTCTCCTTTTTGTTGTCTCACCCCCCTCCACCCCACATGGGACAAGAGAAGGGGGCAGAATAGAAGAGCTGTCAGGGCAGTGGGGCATATAGGGCAGTAGGACAAGGGGGGTTGTGCCCCGATGAAGGCCTTCTGGTACCGTGCCCCCCACAGACAGGTCTGAACCCCCCCTTCAGAGTGGGCAGGGAGCTGGGGCCCTAGCCTTGTGGACATTTCCCAGCTCCTCTGGTGTTCATCCTCTCTTCTCCATCTTCGAAGGTCCTCACATAAGGAGCTCATGTTGTCATGGTTGAGGGAGGTAGAGAGAGGTGCGGGGTCCCCCAGGTGGTGGCATCCGGACACAAGTAGAGCTCCCTAGGTACTAGAGCGAGGTGGGAACTCCCAGGGTAGTAACCGGGGACAGCTTGGGTAGTCTTACCTCCCAGCTACCTGGGATAGGCTGAGCAACAGAGTCACACACCTGGGAGGGAGTTTGCTCCAGTGTTTTCTTTCTAATGGCTGGGACGCTGGTTACACCTGCGCCGAGGGTATGTGCCCACTGACTAGGTGTACATGCAAGTATGTGTGCCAGCATCGTGCTCTTTCATGGGACACTGGGGGGCTGGAGAAGGGACCCCGGACATCCTTGCACTCAAGCCTGTGCCTTCCCCACAGTGGATCGAGAGGGTGGTCGGTTGGCTCGGCAAGGTGTTCCTGCAGGACGGCCCTGGCAGGCCCGCATCCCCGGAGGCTGGCAACACTCTGCACCGCTGGCGCTGCCACGTGCAGAGGTTCTTCTACCGCATCTATGCTGGCATGCGCATTGACGAGCTCTTCAGCATCATTCGAGGTCTGCCCCGCCTCCTCCAGGCTCACGTCCGTCTGTCCCAGGTCTCCTCGTGTGCTTGGGGGCGGTCAGCTTGTGGGGTGGGACTCTGGGAGGCTGTTGAACTACATCCCCCGTGTAAGCATGCTCCTCCTACAGACTTCCCAGACTCACGGCCAGCTGTCGAGGACCTCAAGTACTGCCTGGAGAGGACCAACCAGAGGCAGCGGCTCCTGGAATCACTCAGGGCGGCGCTGGAGACGCGCCTTCTACACCCAGGTGCTGCCTGAGGCCCTGAGGGAGCCCGCGGCTTCGCCCACCTCTCGGACTGACCCTTTGGAGTGGGGCCGGGGTCCTCTGTGATGCTGCCAGGAGTGGCTGTCTGTTCCTAGGAAGTTCCAGGGATGGGGGGCAGGGCTCCCCTGAATGGGCTAGGGAGTCTCCTAGATTCAGGGTCCCAGGCTGCACTAGACACCATCTCAGTGCATGGTGCTGTGGAAGCATGTTGGGCTGCTGCCCTGGGTGTGGCCAGTGTGGTCCATTTGGGCAAGGATGGGCAGTTTGGCCTGGCCCCCCTGTCCCATCAACCGTGACCACCCGGCCCCTCTGGCTATAGGCGTGAACACGTGTGACATCATCACGTTATACATTTCCGCCATCAAGGCTCTGCGTGTGCTGGACTCCTCCATGGTCATCCTGGAGGTGGCCTGTGAGCCCGTCCGCCGCTACCTGAGGTGAGGAGGCCCGTTGCTGTGGGGCCAGGTGCCAGTCACGTTGTGCCGTATGTGTGGGGTGACTGTGTGGTGTGCTTTTGACCTGGCAGGACACGGGAGGACACGGTGCGGCAGATAGTAGCTGGACTGACGGGGGATTCGGATGGGACTGGGGACTTGGCCGTTGAACTGTCCAAGACTGACCCTGCAAGCCTGGAAACTGGTCAGGACAGTGAGGATGACTCGGGTGAACCTGAGGACTGGGTCCCCGACCCCGTGGACGCCGACCCAGGTCAGCTTGCCCCCAGCTCCCTTGGGGGACAGATTCTCAGTCCTCACTCTAGGTCTGTTTGGGAGGGTGAGGCCGCCCACAGGCTTCTAGTCCTGGGCTCTGGGCTACTGCAGGAACATCAAGGTCAGCTTGCCCTTGGTCAGTGGAGAGCTCCGCGCTTGGCTTGCTCCATGGAGGGGGTGTCCCTGAGGGTTTGTGGGGTGCAGGGGAGGATTTCTTAGTCGCAGAGGAAGTTCCAAGGATCTCGATTCTCCTGGAGCCTGAGAGAGGCCTGTAAAAATCACGGAGCCTGGTGGCAATGCTGCGCACCAACTGCAAGGTTCCAAACCAGCAGCGCCTCTCCCCGGCCCCCGGCCCCTGGCAGGGAGAGAAGGCTGCCTGCCTGCTCCCGGAAAGCCCTGTGTAGAGCTATTCTGACTCACAGTCCACTCAGGAACAGTGAGTTTGTTTTTGTTTTTGTGGGGGCTTGGAGGTCCCTGTGAGACCAGCTGAGAAGTGTAACGAGGGGAACTGCAGGCATTACTGGGCTGGCCCACTGGGGCATCCACGTCCCTTAGAGGTGCCAGTGGTGCTCTTCACCCTGGGTCATGCCAGGGAAGTCGAGCTCCAAGCGACGCTCCTCGGACATTATCAGCCTGCTGGTCAGCATATACGGCAGCAAAGACCTCTTCATCAACGAGTACCGCTCCCTGCTCGCTGACCGTCTCCTGCACCAGTTCAGCTTTAGCCCCGAGCGGTGAGCGCCCAAGCTCTGCTCTTTGTGAGCCCCCCAAGCGCGGGTTCCTGCAGCAGGAAGGGGTCTGGCAGTGGCTCGGTAGCATGGAGGATGCCCCACACAACCCCTGTTCCTTCCAGGGAGATCCGCAATGTGGAGCTACTGAAACTGCGCTTTGGCGAGGCCCCAATGCACTTCTGTGAGGTCATGCTGAAGGTGGGTGCCACCCCACCCCCCCACTCCCTGCCTGGGCCTACCCCGCCAGCTACCTCACCTGGCACCATCTGTGGTGACGTTCCTGCCCCTCATCTTAGGACATGGCGGATTCCCGGCGCATCAATGCTAACATCCGTGAGGAGGACGAGAAACGCTCGGCCGAGGAGCAGCCACCATTCGGGGTCTACGCGGTCATCCTGTCCAGTGAGTTTTGGCCACCTTTCAAGGACGAGAAGCTGGAGGTGCCCGAAGACATCAAGGAGGCTCTGGACGTCTACTGCAAGAAGTATGAGAAGTTGAAGGTATGCCGGCTCCCCCTGGCATCCCCCAGGGCCTCAGAGCAGAGCTGGGTGCTGACCTGAGCCCTCAACAGGCCATGAGGACCCTCAGCTGGAAGCACACACTGGGCCTAGTGACCATGGACGTGGAGCTAGCTGACCGCACGCTCTCGGTGGCCGTGACCCCTGTACAGGCTGTGATTCTGCTGTACTTCCAGGAGCAAGGTGGGCCCCGTTCTGCTCCCTGTGGCACTGTGGGGTAGGCACCGGACTACTAGCCTCAGGGTCAGCTGCTCCTCGGAAAGCCCATGCTGGGTGGCTGAGTCGGAACTGACTCACTAGGCTATCCGTGTCCCTGTGACCCCGGGGCATTCCAGGGCAGGCTCAGCGCCCTTGTTGAGCTGGGGCTGGCCTAGGGAAGTGGTCCCCAGCGTCCCTGCTGCTCCACACACAGCCAGCTGGACCCTGGAAGAGCTGAGCAAGGCGGTGAAGATGCCGGTGGCGTTGCTCCGGCGGCGGATGTCCGTGTGGTTGCAGCAGGGTGTGCTGCGGGAGGAGCCCCCAGGTACCTTCTCGGTCATAGAAGAGGAGCGGCCCCAGGACCGAGACAACATGGTGCTCATGGACAGCGATGACGAGAGCGACTCGGGCATGGCCTCCCAGGCTGACCAGAAGGAGGAGGAGCTGCTGGTGAGTGGAGAGGAGAGCGGAGGACACCCTGGGGTGGGGGGTGCCCTGGCATCCAGCCTCAACGGCTCTGCCGCCCCTCCCAGCTCTTCTGGACCTACATCCAGGCCATGCTGACCAACCTGGAGAGCCTGTCTCTGGAGCGGATCTACAGCATGCTGCGTATGTTTGTCATGACCGGGCCTGCGCTGGCCGAGATCGACTTGCAGGAGCTCCAGGGTTACCTGCAGAAGAAGGTGCGTGACCACCAGCTCATCTACTCGGCCGGCGTCTACCGCCTGCCCAAGAACTGTAGCTGACCTGCACGCTGGTGGACTCAGCGAAGCCACAGGAGGGACAGCCCCGGGGTGATGCACATCCACACACGTTCACACACAGTCATGGCTCCTGCGGATTAAAGCAGCTCTCTGCTCACTGTGTATGTGTCTCTACATTGTCAGGCTGGCTGCTCCCCAGCCCCTTGTAGTTCAGGCTGGGGAACACTAGGGGGCGCTGCCTCACCGTGTCTCCCAGGCTGCCCTCTAACCTTCCTGGGGTCCCTCTTCTTCTCTGGTCTTTAAAAGGAGGGAGGAACGTGGTCACCTGTGTCTAGGGGAAGCACGGGGCAGTTCTGGCCTCTGAGTGAATCTGTCACACTTTTGAGGCCCTGCTAGAGGCTGAGGCCGAACTCCGTGTCTGGCAGCGGTTCTCAGCGGCAGAGCGGAGTCATAGTGAAGTGTGCATTCAAGAACGGTGGGTAACATCCACAGTAGACCACCCCTCCTGGGTGTCTCAACCCCTCCTGGGCATCTCAGTCTGGGCATAGGCCTGTGGATTATCAGCCCAGTGCTGGTCTGGCCAGGACCGGGTGGTGGCCAGGACTGGGTGGTGGCCAGGACTGGGTGGTGGCCAAGACTGGAGGCTGAATGTGTTCAGAGTCACATGGGCACTTCAGTCTCCTCCCAGGCCCCGTCCACCTGGCTGCTACCCGGGAAGGTTCCAGCCAGAACCTCCCCCACCTCGTGTCCCCCTGTGTCTGCTACAAGGCTGCTGGCCGGCTCCCAGTAGTGTTCCAGCAACTCAGAGGTCCTTCAAGGGACTGCTGCCATCCCTGGCTGGCTGCCCACCGTCCTCACCAGGATGCAAACCTGCTGAACAGGCCTGGTAGGGCAGGAATGCCAGTCTGGCCTGGGCACACCTGCCTTAAGTTCCTCTGGACTCAGTCTTCCAAACATACATCTTAAAGCTCATCACCACACAAAGGTTCCACAGTGTCCCCAGGGTCCACACTTGTGAGGTCAGGGGTACCCTGTGGGCTTGTGTTGGCAGGAGGCTAGGGTGTTTCTTCCTGGTGCCTCTGCGGTTTGCCTGTCCTGTCTGGGGAGGAGGGCCCCTGGGTGGGAACAGCCCAAGGAAGCAAGGCAGGTGTACCAGAATCGCAGCCAGTAACAATAGGCTCCAGGAGGAGGCCAAGGTCACTTTCCAGCCTCGGTCTCCTTTCCTGGTCTACAGGAAGGGGGTGGGGAGCTTCCGGGACAGAGATGCTAACATCTGAAGGTCTTTTGTTTGGTAACAACATGTTTGTCAAGTGGGAGAGGGCCCCAGATGCCAACCACAGTCATTTCTGAGACAAGCTCTGTGGCCTTGTAGCCTGTGGTTCAAGCAGGTGTGTGCTGGGTCGTTTCCGACCTCTCTCCGGTAATCAGGGACCTAGAGGGCTTAGGTTGAGGGCCACCTCCTGTCTCAGGTCCCCCTGACTCAGCGCAGTCCCTTATCTGCAGCCAGAACTAAGAGGTGGACCATAGCTTCATTCCCCTCACTGAGTGCCCTCCTTTCACAGTGAGCCTGGGCTGGGATCTGGGCCCTCCCTGCCCTATCCCAGTCTGCCCACCAGACTCCTTAAGGTCCCCATGGTCTGATGGGGTGGGGGCTCACAGTCCACTACAGGCCCACCACCGGTGAAGCCCCAGTGGCCTCAAGACCCTCAGGCCCTGCCCCCACCCACCCTGCCTCACAGCACCCACTATGAGGTCAGTGCCTTCCGACAAGTTCTGCCCAGAGGTGTCCGGTGGGGCTGGGGGCTGGACATGGCCCTGCCTGCCCAGCCCTACTTCTGCCTGACCTGCAGCCCCCTTGGCCTGATCTGTCTGTCCCTCTTGCTCATCCCAGCCACAGGTGCCTCCTCCTACCCCACCCCGGCCCCTCAACCATCCAGTGGCCCCTCAGGGCAGGTCCAGGGGGACCCCCCACTGCCGCTGCCCACCCCGCTGCCACACTGCCTGTTTCCGCAGCCGGAAGCTACTGCGAATGCAGCCTGGGCCTCAGCCGCGAAGCCTTCATTGCTCTGCTTGTGGTGTTGGCTGGCATCAGCACCAGCTGCTTCTGCGCTCTGGTCATTGTAGTGGTGGGCGTCATGCGGGCCAAGTGGTGCGTGTCCACCCCCCCCCATTATCCCACCCCTGGTGCTTGGGAGTTGATTTGAGCTTCACTATGCTACCCTGCCCTTTCCCTGGGGTGGGACATCACAAGGGCCTGGGGTTGGCGTTTCCTGAGGTGTGTCTCCTGACAGTTTGGAACTCACACCCTCTTCTTCCCCTCCCCCCTCTTCCCCCCCCCCCCCAGTGACTCAAGCACCCCTGGACAAGTGGACAGCAGGTGAGTTAGCCCTGGGTCAGGAAGGGCCCACCACAGCCTCAAGGAGCACTGTGGCCATCTAACCACCCGCCCGCCCATGTCCTGGCAGGTTGGTGGGACACTCTGGGGTCCAGGAGGACCACATGGATCTGCACACAGTGCACGTGGAGTCCCACCTCATGGACCCTGACCTGGACGCCTCTATGATGGAGGACCAGGGTCTTGAGACGGTGCCCATGGAGGTTATGGACATGTCCCCCCCACCATCAGAGCAGGGCTGAGGGCAGTGAGGCTGCTGAGGGGACGGGGAATTAAAGTATTTTGTGGTTCTGCGTTGTCCTCCCTTCATCATGGGGTGGACACAAGCTTTGCGGCCGTCCTCAGTGGGGAGGTGCCACCAGGATACCATATTGCTTGGGTTTTCCCACCTCCCTTGGTACACCCCCACAATTTGGAGTATCCAGAAACTGTCAGGGACCCTGGGCTCTGCTCAGTCCGGTCCTGTCCACCCCAGTGTCCACTCCCACTGGAGGTTCCAGGAGAGTCCTTGGTGGGTTGGGGACCCAGACACTAATCTACCCCAGTTCCCACAGTGTGCTCAGCTCCCATGGGTTAGGGGTTGCTATGGGAATGGGCTGTCCCTCCTGACCGCTCAGGCCCTTTGAGGAGAGGCCGAATAGCAGACACGGGGGTTAGGACAGGCCACTGTGTTCACCTCCAGCAGGGCAAGACTAGGATGAAGGGGTGAGGAACAGAATGGGGCAACCTGGGGACATCCGAGAGTTGAGTGGCCATGGGTTTCCGTGGATGTCCAGTGGTGGTATTCCCAGAGCCGTGGCCTGTCAGAAAAAAGGGAGCCCAGAGTTGTGGAACAGGTGGTAGGCAGTACCAGTGCTGGCTGTGTGCCCGGCTGCCGCCCCAGGCGGGGACCAGTCCCGGGGCAGGAAGTACTAATGCTCCAGCTGGAGAGTTAATATTTGTGCAGGGGCCGTAGGGACGAATTCCAGGTGCAACAGGTTCTGGGGCCCACGGGCTCTAGGATCGTACGGCCCCAGCGCTGCCCCCATGAGGAGGCCCTCGTTTCTCTCCTTGCCGCTGCCCTTGCAGCTGCTATTGCTCCCTCTGTGGCTATCGCTCACCAGCGCCCAGATGCTCCCCGCAGCCGCCGCCTCCTCGGGGCCTAGAGGCGTCCCCGCTTGCCCCGAGGCGTGTGAGTGTGCGCCAGGTGGACAAGCCAACTGCTCAGCGCGCGCACTGCCCGCTGTGCCTAAGGGTCTGAGTCTGAACGTGCGCGCGCTGCTGCTGGACCACAACCGCGTGTGCATGCTGCCGCCCCGCGCTTTCCAGGGCGCGGGCGCACTACTGCGCCTGGATATGCGCGAGAACGGTCTGCGCGCTGTGCACGCACGTGCCTTCTGGGGTCTGGTTGAGCTGCAGCAGCTCGACCTTGGCTCCAACCAGTTAGAGGCGCTAGCGCCGGGGACTTTCACGCGGTTGCGCGCGTTGCGCAACCTCTCGCTTGCCGGCAACCGTCTGGCGCGCCTGGAGCCCGCGACACTGGGCACACTCCCGCTGCTGCACGCGCTGAGCCTGCAAGACAACGCGCTGGCGGCGCTTGGGCCTGGCTTGTTGGCCTCCCTGCCGGCTCTCGTTTCACTGCGTCTGCGCGGAAACCCCTGGGCTTGTGACTGCGCGCTGCGCCCGCTCTGCAGCTGGCTGAGCCGGCACCCGAGTCTCCCGGGTAAGACGTCGAGGTGGGGCGTGGCTGGGGAATCAGGTGAAGGGGACGCCCGGTGGGCACCAGGTGAGCTGTCGGGAGTCCCAGACCGGGTCGCGGGATTCCGCCTTACGGCGGTTGTTTATTCACAGAAGCCGACACCTTGTTCTGTGTGTCCCCGGGGCACTTGACGGCCAGCCCCATGACCGCCTTCACCGACGCCGCCTTCAGCCACTGCGGCCAGCCATTGACGCTGTGGGACCTGGCTGTCGTCTCCGTCCTGGGACCCTTCTCCTTCCTCGCCAGTTTGGCCTCCTGCCTGGTGCTGGGCTCCGTGCTCACCGCTTGTCGTGTTTATCGGCGTCGCCGCCGCCGCCAAGCCGTCGCCCGCCGCCCACCCAGTAGACCACCGGACCCTAAGCCCGCCACCTCTCCCGCCGTCTCCCAGAGTTCCGCTGCTGCCCACACCTGAGCTGGCTTCCAGGGGCGTTCCGGCGTGCACTGGCACCCGGTTCCGGTCCACGTTCTAGAAGCCCTCCCCCCCTCCCAACCCCGTACTTGCAGGCGTCAACAAGCGACACAAACGGACACTTTCGTGACATTCCTTTAGGAAACACCATTGCACACACCGGGTCATGGGGGCGGCGCGCCGGCTCCGCGGGACGGAGAGGAGCGGCGGCAACACACGGGCCGCTGGGGAAGGCACGCGCGCAGTCACGGGAGGGCTGGGCCTGTACAAGGTGGCGGGCGATCTCACACCTGGAGCGAGGGGGCGGCACCGGGCACGGCTGAAGGGAGTGCCCGGCCACCCTGGGCTACATTTGGGCTCTCTCCGAGCCCCCGGAGGAAGAGAACAGAGGCGCGGGAAGCTGGAGAGCGCCCTATGGCGGCTGCTGACCAGGAGTCCAGACTTAGATGGGGAGGAGGCGGGGCCAGCGGGCAGCGGGGGTCGAGGGGGAAGGGTCGTCGGGGTGCAGCGAGAAGAGAGGAGGGGTTGGGCGGAGACTGCAGAGGAACATAGTCGCTTTAGGACGGAGTGGCCCAGCCAGCTGTGGCTCTGGTGGTGGCTGGGCAGGACGGACCTGTAGCTCTGCTCCAAGCCCCTGTGCCCAGGGCCAGAGTATCCCCTCTCCCCCGACGCTCAAGCCCCCAGGGCCCTGCCTCTGCCGGAGCGCCCTGCGGCCCTGCCCAACCGGCTCAGCCTCTGGCCCTACTCGCTCCGGTCCGCGCTCGGTCCAGCCCACGCTCGGTCCAGCAGGGGCCTGTCCGCCAGGCGGCGGGCGGACGGATGGATGGGAGGCCGGGGATGGGCAGTCTCTGGGGCGGGTGGGCTTCCCTCAGGCCTTCCCGGGCAGCAGGACCATCACTGTCCTTGGCCGGGCTAACTGGGCGGGCGGGCGGGCGGGCGGCTCCGGGGGGTCTCACACCACGGTGCTGACCGAGGGATCTGAGAGGTTGAGCGGGCCCGAGATATCAGTGGGATGATACTGCTGTAAAATAGAAATACACAGACAAGGTGGCCCGTTAGCCCCAAGGCTCGGGGGCAGGCGCGGGGCCAGGATGGGGACTGGCCAGCCGGCTGACCGGCGGGCAGGTGGGCGGGCGCGGCCTGGGGGAGGCTGGGGGTGTTCCTCCCCCTGACCCCGTCGTGCTCCGGGGACTCTGCGTGGGCCGGGCCGCTGTCCCATCCGGGGGGAGGGGGGCAGAGGAGGGCGGGCAGGGCGTCTCAGCTCTCCCTATGACGGGCACACATCTGCAGCTGGCCCTCCTCCCTCTCAATAGCGCGTCGCGGCAGCACTGTGTCTTTTTGGTTTTGCAAAGCGACGCGTCCACCCCCGGTGCTCTATAAATAAGAACCAACAATCAATACCCGCTGGCCCCTCCGGCCAGCCCTGAGTGCCCAGCGCCGCCCAGGACAGGGGCCGAGGATCTCAGCAGCCGGACTGACCCCCAGCCCCAAGCAGCCCTCCACCCAGCCTCCCTCTGAGCAGCGGCCCAGCCCCAGAGACAGGGTGGGAGCTGGGCTGCTCGCCCCTGCCCGGCCCTCCCCACCCGCTGGCAATGCCCCTGCAGACCCAGCCTTGCAGGGTGGGGCCCAAGGTGCCGCATGGGGAGCTCGGGCAGGGAGTCCTAGGGATGTGTCCTGGGAAGGGCCGGGAGGGTCTCTGAGCTGCTTGAGAACCAACTACACAGCTGCATCTGCTCTGGCTGGGGCCCCCAGACTCCACAATGTCTTCTGAAGACTGCCCATTGGCTGCAAAATGTTCTGTCCTGCCCTCTTCAGCTGCCTGCTCCCCAAACACTGTTCCTCTTGTCTGCTGGGAATGCCACTTTTAACCCCTCTCGTCACATTCTCAGTCCTTGTCGGTTCACCACTTTCCACTAGGCTTGGGGGAGTGGCTGTGGTCACCTCAGCCTGAGCTGGCCTCATCTGCTCCTGGTGACTCTTGCTCCCAGTGCCGTGGGCCCTCACACTGCACCACATCCCGAGCCTCCTCTTCTAGCAGACTGCCTGGCAGCCAGGCCTCACAAGTCACCCTTGGGACAGCTTGGTGGCTTCCTGCTAGAACCCTGGTTCTTCGGCTCCACTGCCAGTGCCCTGCAAATCCTGCTTTGGGCCAAGGACTTCCTGGGGCAGGAGGTCCCATCACCCCCAGGCTGACTCCCTAGCTGGCCTTTCCCACATGCTGCCTGGAACCAGGTGCCCCTGGCAAGGCCCCCTTTGAGGGCTGTGTGCTCCAGGTATATCCATCAGGTGACCGGAGCACTCAAGGAGGACAGGTGGCCTGCTGGGCATAACTGGGGTCAGGAGTTGAGGCTGGTCCCTCCCCAGAGGCCCCCTTTTCTGGGCCTCTCTAGGGGAGCCTCCCTGGCCCGCCTGGGCTCTCAGACCCTCGGGGGGTTGCCGCCACTCTTGCGGGGCCCACTCCATCCCCCCTGACAACCCTGTATGGCTGGGGCCAGTCCCAGCTCCAGACCCTAGCTATCCACCAGGAAGGATCCAGGCCCGGCCCCCAGCCCCCGGCCCACACAGAGACCACATGGAAGATGCAACACGCATGGCTCTGGTGAGACAGGTGATACAGGTGTCGGGGCGGGGCCGGCGGCCAGACAGACGGACGGGATGGACGTCACAGCCACCCCTCCCAGGACGCCGCCGCAGGGAGACTGGTGGTTCCTGAGGGAAGCCAGAGGACAGAGGGGCGTGGTGTGGCACCTCTTCCTGGTGGTTGCGGAGCCAGGGTGCTGCCCCTCTGGGCTCTGGGGGCCTGGCACAGCCCCGAGAGGCAGTGGCTGACTGACTGACTGACCGACGACATAACACAGCTTCAGGATGGTGTGTGGTGGTCATGGTATGGTGGCGGAGGCAGGGAGGGGCGGGCAGACCAGGGCAGAGAGACACATGGTGGGGAGACAAGACCCAGGAGACTCAGCCAAGGAGCTAGTGAGGAGGAGTTGGGGGCTGGGAGGAGAGAGAGAAAGAGAGAGCCTTGCCCAGTGTGGTGGGCAGAGGGACCAGGTAGCATGATGAGGGAAGAGTCAGATGCACAGGGACGGAAACACGGGGGCGTGGGGCGAGAAGAGTCGGAGACGTGTGACTGGGGTGTCCCCCCTTACCGTGTCTTTGGAGGACCTACGTCTCTTGAAGCTGGAAGCCAGGGTGGAGGTGATAGCCCTAAATGTGGTTTTCTTTTTAGGGTCGGGCTCTGCTCTACCACTCTTTCTATCCTAAAATGAATATGTATAAGTGATTAGATGACTAAGGTACAGCCACACCTGCCCTTGCCTGCTCTGGGGGGGCCGCTGGTTGGCCTGGCCGGCCACTCGGGCCCTCGATCCTGCCTCCCTGTGCTGGACTGCTGACCAGCAGCCGGGCCCACACGGGCGGCTGTGTCTCCTGCCCGGATCTTGGCCTGACCTTACTTGTGCTGGGGGCTGGGCGCGGGGGTCCTGGCTGGCTCTCTTCTCGGGAGGTCCACCTTGAGCCCTGATTCCTGGATGGCCCTGGCCCTCAGGGTCCCCAGGAGGATGATGTTGAATGGTGCCCTCTGAGGACTGGAGATGGCACTGCGTGGGCTGCATGGACGTTGCTGACCCCGCAGGGACTCACACCAAGAGAGAGGAGGAGGCCAAGGGGCCGAAGGTGAGCAGTAAGACTGAACTGGAGGTGGACAGAGGCGGCTCTTGGGACCCCAGCCTTGGCAGCCTTGGCTCTGGTGGCCCTTATGCCCACCTGTGAGAAGCTGCGACCAGGTCCCCAGGGGACCTGTGGGGCCAAGAGCAAGAGTGGGCGGGTGAGAGGTGTGGGGTCTCCAACACCCCTGGCTCCCATGGCCCATGCTGCACCACCATTGGAAACCCCAGTTCAGGGAACCCCAACTCCGGGCAGCACCCGGAGAAAGAGAAGCAAACCTGATACCTACTGTGGGGACGTCGCCTACCCTGGCCCCAGAGATCATGGCTGCCAGCTCCAGTCTTCTCTGCCAGCATCAACTTCCCTCAGACACAGCCATGGGGACTGGGCCAGCTGACCCATTTGAATCACGGAGCACAAGGACACAGCAGAGAAGGGGCCCCGAAGGGTGTCGAGGTGACTTGGGGCGGCGGAGGGCATAGGTATCCGGGACTCACACAATGTCCACAAGTAGGTCCCTGTCTTAACCCTGCCTCAGTTTGCCTTCCTACGGAATGGGCGCCAGGGAGAGACTCTGGAGACCGAGGGTCTGGCAGAGGCTTGGCACAGGGTCCATGGCCTCCCTGGGCCCTGCTTTGAAGTGGGTGGCCACCTCCAGGCAGCCCTCCCGCCACCGCTGCCCCTGAGTCCCGGGAGCACTCACCACTGCCCCTGCCATGGTTCCCATTTCCAGTCCTGCCCATGTGGGATCCCGAGCTCCCACGCCTGGGGTGGGGCAGAGCCAACCAATGCCACGGCCTGCGGGGTCAGAGGAGGGCCGGGCTGGGCCGGGCCATGGGCACCAGGCCTCAGAGGGAGGCCTACCCTACCTGCAAGTTTTTCCTCCACACGTTCACTGCAGCAAAAGCCAGCTGCATCTGCTTCCTGCGCGCATCTTTGTGGCGCTTGTAGGCAATCTCAATGAAGATCAGAAAGATGCCAGCCACAATGCCCCCAGCCACCAGCATGAAGACCCCTGCAGAGTCAGAACACACTGGCCTTCAGTCCTGCGGCGTCTGACTCCCAGTGTCAGAAGGTGACATTGAGGATTGGTGGTGAGGGCGCCCACCTGCCATGTTCTCAAAGGTCAGGGTTGCAGGGGCGTTGCTGCGAGAATCACACTCCTGGTATCGCACCCAAGTCTTATCCAGGTCTTCCATGAAACCGTTCTCGTGGGATCTGGGAGAGCAAGGGGTGTGAACTGGGTGTGGCCCAGAGTGGGCGGTGTCTGCAATGAGCAGAGGGCGGGAGTGGGTGGGGCCTACAATGGGCAGAGCTATGATTCCTTTGGGGGTTGGAGTCTCTCTAGTACCTGGACAAGGGTGGTGGGCAGGGCCTGGGAGAAGGAACGGGGAGACAGGGCAGGGCCTGTGCATTGTAGGGTCAGCTGAGGGCCAAGCCCATTTCCAGAAGGGGCTGACTGTGGCCACAGAAGCACTGGGGCTGCCTCTGAAGAGAGGTCAGACCTTGACCGGCTGACGACTCACTTGAGAATTGACAGGGAAACGTTCTGCTTCCATGGGCTGTCCTTGCGCATGCCAATGCCAAAGCCTGATCGGAAGAAGAGTTCGCCCGTGGTCACCAGGTCACACTTTTGTGAGGCCTCAAACTCCAGCACCGCCGAGTCCCAAATGAAGGCGTGTAGCTTGCTGCGGACAGGGTTGAGGGTTGAGGGGTCCCGCACAGTCTGCTGTCATCTCACCCCATACCCATCCCGTCCCTCACTTGTCCTGCATGGTCTCGATGTCTCCCTCCCCCCTCATCCCCCCCCCCCCCCCCCACACACACCTCGCTTGCACACCTGCACCCCAGCTGGTCCTGATCTACTGAAAACCTGACACCTTTACCCCTCACTTGGTCTCTGCAGCCTGGACACCCTCTCCCGCTCCCTTTCCCTGGATAGCTTGGAGTCCTCTCTCCACAAGCCCCTCTCCGCCCTTCACTGCCCAGCCCAGCCTGGCTGTCCCGTCCTTCATGTGTATAGCTCAGTCCCATGCCCCGCCCCTCACTGTCCCAAACTGCCTTATATCCCGCCCTCACCAAATCTTCGTGCTCAAGCCCCGCTCCGCCCACGTGACCCGCTCTGCCAGGACGCCTGGCCACACGCCCCGCCCCTCACTGTTCTGCTCTGCCTGGTCCCTCTGCTGTTCACTGTCCCACCCTGCCTCACCTGCTTGGCCACCGCTGCCTCACCTCTCTCGGTCCTGCCCCACTCTACCCCCGCCCCTCACTGCTCAGCTGGGTCTCTTCGGGTCCAGGTCCTCTCTCGGTCATGGCCAGTGCCCTGCCCGTCACGTGTCCCGCATGGCCTCAGTTCGCCGGCCCCCTTGCTATGCCCCACACCCCGCTCCTCACTTGTCCCACAGACCTCGGTGCCCTCACGGTCCCTCCATCCCATCCCACACTCTGTCCCTCACTAACGTGCCTTACCTGGATGCCAGGGCAAGTCCCACCACGTTCTTGCCCCGCCCACTTATTCCACACACCCCCTACCCGCCCATGCTCCGCCCAACACTCAGCCTCTCACTTGCCCCCTCGCTGTCCTCCTCTTCCCTCCCCGTCCGCCCGGTCTCTCACTTGTCCCGCACGGCCTGGATGGCTTCCGCCGCGCTCTCATAGTTGTGTTTCTCCATGTGCCGGTACATGGTACTCAGTTCCACTTGCCGACGGAAGTAGATGTCCACAGAGCTCTGTTTCACCGTGGCGTAGATGAACTTGTCCGAGGGGTTCCTCAACTGTAGGGACAGAGGGCAAGGCTCGCGGTTACTCCCTGAACCCGGCCATCCTCTTCTCGCCACTCCCAGTGGCCGGGTCTCACCCGTGGGTCGTTGATGCCGGTGATGCGCTCTTCAGGCCGGTCCAGCACCAGGAAGGCCGCCAGGTTGGCGGTGTAGGAAGCCACAATGATCATGGCGAAGCCTGCCCACACCATGCCCAGGATGCGCGCTGAGAAGCTCCGGGGGGCGCCTGCGGGTAGAGGCGCGGGTCAGTGCTGTGGGGAGACGGACCGGGTGGAGGGGAGCGGCACCGGTGCAGCCTTACCTTCCCCGATGCCCGAGTTGAGCAGGACGCCCCAGGAGAACCACATGGCTGATGAGAGGGTCAGCGCGTCCTCCTCCTCTTCCTCGCTGTTCACCTTGAACCGGCCGAAGGGGCTGCAGGGGCGCAGAGGGCGGGCGGGAGAGGCAGCCTTGTGGCCCGTTCGCACCGCTCCGCTTGCCCGCCCCTCACTGGGGTGTCCGGCCCGGGCCGGCGCTCACCTGAAGCGGTCGAGCAGGTACAGCATCACGGCCACTACGTGCACCGACAATCCCACCAGCAGCCACAACGTACTCTGGAAGGGCTGCATGAATGAGTCCAGCGTGCTTCGGGGGATCTCCTGTGGGTGGTTAGGTTGTCAGCGCCGCCAGGCCCTCCCGGAGTCCTCTCCCACCAGCTTGGCTAGGTGCGCTCACCTTCTTGACCAGAATGGTCAGGCCCTGATATTTGAAAGGCTTGGAGAATTCGATGTACTGAGCACGTTCGTTGTTGATGGTCAGCGGTGCCACGATCATGTCTGCCTGTCCGCTCAGCAGCTCGCCCATCATCCCGTTCCACTCTTTTTTGTTACTGTTGTTAACCTGAGAAGCGGCGCAGTGAGCTCAGGCGCAGCGGAATTATCCATTCCAGGCCCTCCCTGGCTCCCCCCTCCAGTGCAAGTCCCACCTACAGTAGGACCCACCCATCTAACAGGTGGTGTGGCGCTGTAGGATAAGCACTGGACTGCAAGGTCACTTGAATTGCAAGGT